TAGTAGAACCAATGCCACGTCAGTCTACTGATCCGCAGGGCTATTTCAGCTCCTATACTTTTGCAGATATCTTCTTTACAAATTTTATCTTTGACCATACCTTCTTGGTTGTTTTTGGGTTCCCTCTTACGATATAGAAAATTACAGCTTACAGGCCATGAACAGACAAAATCTCTAAATGATGTGGCAAGATTAAAATTGCTTCTATTCATATACAGCATATAAGTCCAAAGTTCGACTAGGATCAGTTTATTGCTTAAAGCCACTAGACAAAAATATAATATCAAGAAGGTTTATGGACACAGCTGTACACATTGATAGAATAACACGCAAGTATATGTCTCAAGGGAAACTTTAACTGCCTCGTTGGTTGTGTGTTCATAAAAGCGACTGCTCATCATGGGATCTCAGGTTTGCATCGCGCTGCCACTATTCCTATAATATCTCGGACGTCAAGCTGAGTGAATTTAGAGCACAAGTTGTATATTGTTAACCATAATATAGACATATAAAAAAAAAATTCGATCACTAGCAAAAGCTGATGTATTTTTAAAATTTGACTTTATCAAGAAAAAGTGTTTACGTTATATCTTTTTTTAAATAGAAATACATTTTTTAAATAAAAATAAAACTCTTTTTTATTTTCTCATTATTAAAATTTAGTAATTCAACCCCAACCATTACAGGTTTCAGAAATTTTATGGAAAGAAAAATATTGTTTAACCAAACTTATTACATTATAACAAAATACAACATACTCGTAAATGGCCGTAATTTTTAATTGCGTATAAGATCGAATGTTTTAAACCTCCAGGGGACCGTAGACCTTTTTGCAAGCAACTATGCAAGTTTAACAAGACTGTATCACTATCACTGCTATCAGTATATGATCTATTGTAATCGCTGCTTTGGCTGTAAACTCTATTCTTCAATGAATTGACAGAATTGTTTAACTTTGAGCATTTTAATCCTGAACTTAGTACGTAGTTTCTCAGATAAGTGTTACGTTTGCGCATTAAGGATCTACAATCAGTGCAGAGGTGTATCTTCCGTTCAGTGACGGAATAGACACATCGTTGATTAGCTTAGTCACAAAATAGCCCATGTGCTTTTTTAAACAGCAATGTCCAGTCAGGTCTCTTGCTAAAAAACGTGGTTTATTTTTACATTTAATCAAACTTAAACGTACTGAAAGCGTAGACCTTAGTTATGATATTAATTTTAACGTGATGCCTTTACCCATTTCCGAGAAAAAGTGCCTTGACAGACAGATAGATCAAATCCTAGATCACTTCTAGGATTTGATCTATCTGTCTTACTAATCTGTCTTACTAAAATGATTATCAGAATTTTTAAATAAACCTTAACTTATAGTATTATCCTAAGTTTTTAGTTTGTTTCAAGAATTCCTACTACATAATTAAAAGCGTTTACATTATACTTATTTAGATGTCATAAAGGTATTATATTTTGCGTAGTTGTGTTCATCTAAAGTAATGTTTATGATTTCAAAAGAAAGATATATGTTATATGTTCCTTTAAGTAAGATACCTCATTCATAATATAATGACAAAAGTCACTTAGACTCGGAAAGATTATTTTCCACGATAACTGGCCTACCTTGTCATTATACTTACTATATTTACATTTTTATATAAAGAGTGAAAATTTGTAGAAATAAATGAATGGCGGTGCGTACTGGTTTTATGGTTTCCACGTGTATGTGTATGGGTAATATGTCACAAATTTTCACCATTTATTTACTTCACCACTTGTTCCTTATTGTCTAGATTATTTAATTATCATCAATTAGTAAGAAGAGCTGCAGTAACTCAGAGCCACAGATACTAACTACTTCAAATCCATAACTTTTTTAGAAATTCGCTGAAGCATGTATACAGCAGCATATAAATAATGGTAATAATGGTAATAATGCTCCCCAGAATGAATTTCGATCAAGGTGGAAATTATATATTTTTACACTATTATACATAGTACTGTACCTGACTCTATTCCCTCACTATCATTGACATTACTTATTTTCTGGGGCACGCGGGTAAAATATCGCCCCACCCGGTAGTCGTACCCGGAACTCATGATCTGCAATCGCGCTTACGAGCACTAGACCAATCAGGCAGTCACAATACTAGCGCAAAAGTTGGACTTGGTAGGTAGTCTGAAACCTCTGGTTTCAGACTACGTACCAAGTACAAGTCCGAGCCATGATTAATATGTGAATCAGTCTCAGGTTTCACTCTAAGATGCGAACAAAAATTTTAAGTCTATAAAGCAAAGAATATGTAAATAATTTGTAAGTCTATGGTAATCATTACATTTTAATGTAAAGTATAGAGAAATTACTTAGGATGTAAAGTATCGAATTTGACAGTAAATGTCAAACTTCTCAAAGGCTATGGCACCGTGGCCATGGAAATTTTTACGTGATAAATACCCCTTTTTGAACCCTAGGCTACCAGTAAATCGGGTTTTCTAATAAGACCGGGTGACAAAAAATGCAAATATATGGAAGAAAACTAAAAAAAGCGCGGTTTTTCACGGGCCGTATTACAGGCTTCTTTATATTGTTACGAGGTTGGGGTTCGAGACAATTAAAAACTGCCGATTGAATTACCAAAATTAACACTTTAATTACACAACACTAATTACAATCTAAAATCACACTAATAATAAAACACAGTTCGCCGTTATTTCGCTTCGAAGTATTCTCTTGTACCGCCAATTCAATACTGCCCCGGTCGTGGTCTATACTGGCCTTATATAGGGCCTCAGATATTTTCTAGAACCTTCTACTGTAGCGACATCTAGAATGTTCGAGTACATATCGGTCCCGAAATTTCTGTAAGGATCTCGACTCTCCTAGTTCTGCTACTCGACACCTTTTTGTATCCGGTAGGTTACGTCATTGATCCTTGTCACAATCTGGTACGGTCCGTCCCATTTAGCTTGAAGCTTAGGAGATTTCCCTTTGCTGCGAACTGGATTGTGTAACCACACTAGTGAACCTTCATCAAACCCCTTGTTGTTCATTTTGCGGTCATACCGTGTTTTCATCTTCTCAGACGTTTGCTGGCCCGTCTGTCTGACGTGCTCATAAATGTCATTCATTTTGTTCCGCAAGTCATTTGCATAATCGGTTATACTGCGTGGGGCATTAGGTGGTATTCCGGTGATCAGGTCTGCGGGCAGCCGTAATTCTCTCCCAAAGTTTGCGAAAGCTGGCGTCACTGATGTACTTTCGTGAACAGCGCTTCGAAATGCCAACAAAAACGGTTGTATGTGCCTGTCCCAGTCTCGTTGCCGTTTTTTCACAACTTTTGCCAGATACCTTTCCAATGTCTGATTAAATCGTTCTACCATTCCATCAGATTGTGGGTGGTAAGAAGTTGTTCGTGTTTTATGAGTACCCATAACTCTGCAAGTTTTCTGTAATATTTGAGACTCGAAATTCCTTCCTTGATCGCTGTGAATTTCTAAGGGTACTCCAAAACGACAGAAGACTTCATGAACTAGTTTATCTGCAACTGTTGAAGCTTCTTGATTTGGAATGGCGAAGACTTCTGGCCACTTAGTAAAGTAATCCATCACAACCATGAAATACTTGTTACCACTTTCACTTTCCGGAAACGGCCCCGCAACGTCAATGGCTATCCTCTCCCATGGTGCACCAACATTGTACAATTTCAATGCGCCTCTACTACGAATTTGAGGTCCCTTTACAGCCGCACAACTTATAAATTTGCGGCACTAGTCCTCGACATCGTCACGACAGTGGACCCAGTAAAACCGTTCTCGGTTCTTCAGTGGAGTTCGTTTAACTCCCAGGTGGCCTCCTGAACAACCACTATAGTACAGCTGTAGAACATCCGGTACTTTAGCCTTAGGGACAACCATTTGCAAATGACAACTGTCTCCCCGACCATTTTCCCATTTAGGGCACAGGACTCCATCCTGAATCAGCAAGCTGTCCCATTGGGCCCAATAGCTTTTCGTGGTCGAACTCATTGCTGAGACGTCGCTCCGCTTGGGCTTAGGAGCACTGGCCTTCATCCATTCCAGAATCGGCTTAATGTCCGAATCTTCCTGCTGTGCATGTTGTAGGCTGTCCTTCCACTCATTGCTAAGCTGGTTTGTCCTGAGCATCCTCACAGATACCACTTCCTTACCCTCTTGCCTAGTACAATGCTTGCAATCTTCAGGGCAAGGTCTTCTTGACAATGCATCTGCATTGCCATGAGATTTCCCACTGCGATGTTCGATCACAAAGTCGTATTCCTGCAGTAGTTCAATCCATCTCGCAACTTGTCCTTCCGGATTTTTGAAATGCAATAGCCATTTCAGTGCAGCATGGTCAGTTCGTAAGTGGAATTTCCGCCCTAGAAGATATTTGCTAAAATGCTGCAAGGACTTTACCACAGCAAGCAATTCCCGTCTTGTGACACAATAGTTCCTTTCAGGCTTTGACAACGACTTGCTGAAGTACGCTATCACAATCTTTTGATCACCATTCCGTTGAGACAACACACCGCCAAGTCCTATATCACTTGCGTCTGTGTCAACTATGAATTCTTTGCCCGCATCAGGGTACCTCAAAATAGGTGTTTTGCACAGACGGTTCTTGAGCTCCTGGAATGCTATATCGCAACTTTCATCCCAGCAGAAATGTCGCTTCTTCTCGGTTAGCTTGTGCAGAGGTTTGGCTATATCAGCAAAGTTCTTCACAAATCGCCGATAATAAGAGCACAAACCCAAAAACGCACTAACCTGTGTCTTGTCTTTTGGAACCGGCCACTCCTTGACAGCGGCAATTTCCTCTGGATCCGTGCGGATACCTTCTTCCGACACTACATACTCCAAAAAACTAACTTGCCGTTTGAATAGTGAGCACTTCTTTGGACTCAACTTGAGGTTGGCACTCTGGATCTTCATGAGCACGCGTTCCAGGTTTTGAAGATGTTCCTCAAACGTACGGCCTACGATGATTATGTCATCCAAATAGACCAGACAGGCATTAGCCCGGTAAGTACAAGCTCCATCAACCTTTCAAACGTTGCTGGAGCATTGCACAATCCAAACGGCATGACTTTAAATTGCCACAGACCCTTTCCTGTGGAGAATGCAGTTTTCTCCTTATCTTTAGGGTCAATTCCAACCTGCCAGTAGCCACTTTTCAGATCCAGTGTACTAAACCACTTTACGCCTGTAAGCATGTCCAGCGTGTCATCAATTCTTGGCAAGGGATAGCTGTCCTGCTTTGTAACGTCGTTCAGGCGGCGGTAGTCAACACAAAACCGCATGCTGCCGTCCTTCTTCTTTACCAGCACCACAGGTGAACACCATGGACTAGATGAAGGTTTAATAACACCATCCTTCACCATTCCCTCAATCATGGTTTCCACTTCCTTTTCACGTGCTACAGGCAATCTTCTTGGCCGCTGACGAATAGGCAATTCTTGTCCTGTGTTTTTTTGTGTTGAACTAAGTCAGTATTTCCTATGTCAGCTTCGTTTGACGAGAAAACATTGGCGTACTTGAGTAACAACTTCTTCGCCTTGACCATTTCATTCGGGGAAAGAACGCTGCGACAGTCTTCTACTGTAGCGACATCTAGAATGTTCGAGTACATATTGGTCCCGAAATTTCTGGAAGGATCTCGACTCTCTTAGTTCTGCTACTCGACACTAGAGGGCGCTAGTGTAACTAGTGTTGCCATGTACAAAACATTAATAGTGGCGCGCAACACTTTCTTTTACTCGACACTAGAGGGCGCTAGTGTAACTAGTGTTGCCATCTACAAGACATTAATAGTGGTGCGCAACAATATAACAACATTTTTTAGGTTATTTTCTCTGATATTCTTATATTAAAAATTATATTTGAGGCATGGCGATTATAGCAACCATTTTAATCATGGCCACCAGTTTATATATTTTAAGTCGCACTATTTTTCCTATGGAAGTCATTGAGCATAGTCCTAAGTAATAATCATTCAATACCAGTGCAGCCTATCAATAGTCCACTATTTAACATAAAACTCCTTCATAATCTGTCTCATAGGGCATATTTGCTATAAATGCCACACTTGTCTGGCCAGTTGGCAACCGCAGTGTATTCTTTTTATTCGTTATTTGGGTGACGTTGCTGCACTTCTCTTGAAGTGTATCTCTAGTGGATATCCTTACACTGCCACTATAAAAACGATATCTATATATATATATATACATATATATATTGTATACGTGATGGAGCCATGATACAGCTATATCAATAGTATAATTGTAGGACGAATCAGTCAGCTTGATCGGGGAACGAACAAATTCTCACAGAATACCAACGTACATTAGCATCTAAATGTACATTAGCATCTAAATACTGCTGTGTTTCGTTTGGTGAGTGTAGAGAACTGAAGAATCTTTTTACTGGAAAAGGGACATTCCATCTTAGTCCTCATGGCTGACAACGCATCTGCATTTTATTCGCAAACGAGGATAGATGTAGATGTCTATGGGCCACAGCAACCACTAACCCTCTTGTCACTCTTATCCTATAAAAAATATATTGAATTAATAGTAACAAAGTTTTAACGTAAATGACCATGTTCTAAATATCTATTTTTATTTAGACATTTGTGGTAGGCAACTGCCTATTTAAAACACAGATATGTATGAGCTACTGAAAAAAGTTTTAGTTATATGTAGTTACTTTAATTTTGCTGGTTCATTACGCAATATGGCTTGCAATTCATACGCTCGTAGAACTTTTATTTTTCTTCATGGCGCAGTAAATTAAAGAATATTAAAAATTACTAAACAACGAATATTGCAATAGAAAAATAAAATATATAAAACAGATAGAAACATGTGACACCTTGATATTTGCCGCCGTCTAACCGGCGTAAAATCGAAAATTGATTTAATTTTTGATTAAATATTCTTAGTAGAACTTACGATGAACTTTAGATTTATATTTTGGCACTGGTATTATAGAGAGGTAATATAGACAGGCCGGAAATTTAGTTCAGTATTTATGTCCCATCATTGGTTTCGAAAGGGACTACAATCTAGGGCTTATGTGAATATGACATCTTACGATTTAGGCTGTTCGTTATATTGAACAAATTTTGGTAAGAATTCGAAAAGAATACTTTTAAAAATTAAATCCATTTTTATTCATCGATTATAAATATATATTTTAAAATAACGATTTAATTAATATTATTTTATTTTAAAGTTTTAATTTTCCTTTGGTAAATAAAATTAAGCTACATTTAGCATGAATGGTTAAAAATGAAAATAATTAATATTGAAAAACAGTATGCAAGATATACTGTTCCTAGCATCTACCATGGTAGTTTTTAAATTACACAAATATTTAAAAAAAGATATTTCTTTTTTCATAACCCAGGTGGTAAAAGCGTAAACGAATCCATCACATTTCGCCCGATGTGTGCCAGAAAAATCTTAATAGGTGGGTGGTTACCTTCATCATTAACGCCAGATGTAAATTTACTAGACGTCTGGTTCTGAGTTCACCAATCGTGGCCTAGTGTGGTGATGTTGACAAATCCTCCATTTTTTAAATTAAACTCGTGTAGCGGTTTAGAACGTACTGACTCTTTTATTTTAATAACATGTGATATGTGGCATGTGGATATCGCTTATGAATGTATCAGAGGTAGATATAAAATTTATCAAGGATCATTTCGTAACTACACATTTTTACATTTGACATCTTCAAGTTCATATTGCTGTCTATAGGTGGAAATCTTTCTGGCATCTCCCACAGTCGCCTCTTACGACATCCACCAAGAGATGAAATTGGCGATGAATTTGTTTAGCCACCACCAATTTTGAAATCATCATAACTTTAAATGTTTTCTTATGATTTCAAGGAAGTTGATAATCAATATAATATTGGCGAGTGTATAGTAGTAGTTTGTTTAATTATCTTGATTTGAATGAGAGTTGAGTACTTTATTTGATGGTTATTCGCTGGCTTAATTCAAGCATCCGGTTTTCCTGATTGAAAACATAGTTGAAATTAAAGTGTGAATAAAATATTATAAGCGTTATTCAATCGCTAATTTCTCTATTTTGCCTTCTATACAGTTGCAATTTATAAAGTATTGTATATTTATAAAGTTATAAAATTAGTGTATAAGTTTAATAATGCTGTAGTAAGTTTAGTAAATGTCCACCTCACTGCTGCCTGTTTACTAATGAATAAGACTCTTAACTAACTGGATTGAACCAGTTATTTGAGTCTTGTTCGCTTTATATTCCATCCATAGCAACCTATAAAAGTCCACTGCTGGACATAGGTCTCCCCCATAGATTGTCTTGTAGACGGGATCTTGCCATAGTTGCCACGCATTACAGGTGGATTGGCAACTGTTGTTTTTTAAAATTTTGAGTTTTAATGAGGAAGATGCTGCTTGAGACACGATATGTGGTAGTGGATAATCTTACTAGTTTGAGTAATTATAAGTAATCAAGCTAAAGCATTGCGCATTTATTTGCCGTACCTGGTCCACACAACATGTTGTCTTCTATATTGCGTGCCACCAATGCAGCATCGATGCCACGACCATACTTACTCGTATTCTAAAATAACGCGAAATTATTCTTTTCCAACGTAGCATATATTATAACATCAAAAATAATTGAATTTTAATTTATAAAATGGCGGGAAACTGAATGAGCGACTTTTTACCAAGCGGCATCGTAGCTTTAAAATTAAGTAAATTTGAGAATGGATTTCTAAGTACAATACAAAATAAACAATAAAAGAAAACTTTAAGCTAGCCATCGCTTGAATATAAATTATAATATTAGTTTTAGATGTGAGGTACAAAACTGTACTTAGAAAAATAATAAGGTATTTAAGTTGTTGATGTTATTTGTTTAACAGATATTTTTTTTTAATTAGTTTAAGGTTGTTTGTCAGCACTCGCCATAAGTTTATAAATACGCGAGCAGCTTGAGTTCAATCCCCGCCGGCAAGAATAAATTGTTAATGAGTATTTTAAGTGATTTACCACGAGTATGTTGAAAAAAGTCTGAAAACAAATACTGGAGCACCGTGTAAGACTATTTTAATATACCCACAATCTTCTCAGAAGTGAGTGGAGGTCTGTATTCTGAAGTAAGTCGTAATTAGATTACTATCCTACTAGGTACAATAACTTTAAAACTACGTATAAAATAAAAAGTAAAGTAGTAAAAATACAATTTAAAATCTATTGAAGGGACTTTAAGCAATCAAAAGATGGGGAATAAATTTAACATTTAACAACATTTTTTTTTCTAAAATTAATTGAATCCCACCAAAAACTTAAAGGTATATTTTTCGTGTTACCTATTGGTTTTACGAGTAGCAAGACCTGAATGGGTATCAAGCTCCATAGCAGTAGCTGAAATCATTGGTTCTTAGGACTGCCAAGATAGCAGAAGCGCTTAATTCTGAAATGCAGAACACATTTTAAAACACACATTTCACACAAATTGAAAATGATCAGGGGTAATCGTTAATATTTAGTACAAGACTACAATTTAACTTTTTTAGTTCTTCTTTAATAAGCAACAATTTTATCAGAAATTCACTGTTAAATAACTTTAAAAATTTTCTTATGAATTAATTAAAGTATGTCTTAGCTTATAGTTATGATTTAAGGAACTGCTATGGAGCTTGGCACCCGTTCAAATCTCAACTTTTCTATTCCCGAACGTCGTTTGTACGGAAATTGACCCTTTATCATATTAATATTTTTGGTGGAATTTCTGATTTTATTCTTTAACTAAGCCAAATAATTGTACGTATCCCTGGCTGTCGTAAGAGACGACAGAGGAAATAAAACTTAAACAGGAGATGGGTAGCAGCATCTTCCTAATAACAACAAAAATAATAAAAATCTGTGATTGACCCCCCATGAAGCTATCTATTGTGGTGGCCCATATTCTGAACAGGATGGTAAAGTTGCCTAAGCACACTTTTCTAAACATCTCTAGTAATTATATAAATGGCAGTACTCGTAAGTAGTTCACAAGACCATTCATAATGTACCGTTAATTTAAACAGTCCAGGAAATTAATGCTGGGTTATTTAGTGACAAGTTTCAAGTTGCCTATGATTAATTGTGTTTGTACCAAACATTATTTTGCGCTGCGACACACCAGTTGAATATCTTGTAATATATTGTGTGGTTACGTAAGTTTTTATCGTCAACAGTATAATCGTTCAGCTGTTACAAGTAATGTTACTTTTATTGTTAGTTGCTTGTTATAACAATTAAAGTAATATGTCACACTGTCTTGTCCGTTATTTCCAAGAGGCGATCAGAAGTCACTCTCAAGTCTTCACAAATGTAATCACTCATTTAGTTCGTAAAGAT